CAATAATATCGGACTGTTGAAGATTCTAGAAGATGTGTACAACTTTTTGTTTGTTTTCATGTCTTTCTGCTCTATCCCTCTAACCCTCTTCCCCCTCCATATCTGGTGTGTGCTGGTATGTGTATATGTGTGTGTGTGTGTGTGTGTGTGTGTTAATGGGCTATTTGCAATTCTTTTCCTTTGGGTACAAGGATACCCCCAGACTGAAAGAGACTCTCAGAGGCATTTAAGGACCCTGCTGTACAGCTGAGAATGTACAGCCCACTAGCTGCTGGGTGACCCGGACACCAGCCAGTAGATTCATACCTTCTAGAACCAGGCATGTGTCTTCTCATAGAGCCACTGCTCCAGCCTATATGATTGCATGCTGTGCAATGAGATGTACTTGATCCATTATTGGAAGTCTACCAAGTCATCCCCACTGAATACACTGTGTCACTGCCAGCTTTCGGTTGAAACAGCTAGCCGCCACCATGTCCTGCCCTGACATGTCACTAGTTATATGCCTATCCCTAGTTCTTGAGGATGGTCATGGTCACTAGGTGTTTGAACCAGGAAAGACTGCATGAGATGAGGAACACTCAAGGGTAAGGGATAGGAGGCGAAGACTTATGGGGAGGTGGATTAGCACAAGAGCTGAGTTTTCAGCCTTCCTCTCTGGTAGACCTTATGAAGCATGAATTTGAAGAGAAAATTATTAAAGATTTCAAGAGGGTGATCACAGAGTATTATAAACTAAAGAAAGAGCATGGGGACTCTTTTTTTTTTGCACTTGCTCTGGGCCTATGACTGCCAACCCAGCTTTTTGCTACATGAGACCCAAAGAACAGTCGGCAAAGTTCTCTGAGCTCAAGGGTCTTACAAAGGGAAGAGAAAATGTATAAGTGAATCAATAGTTTGGAACAGGTTCAGATCAACATATAATGTTCATACAGTTGTATATGATTCAATACTCTATTGCAGTTCTCTGTACACTGTTACTTTGGAAACCAATAAGAAGTTAGAATCCCTCCCCCTTCTCCCCGCTCCATTTCTCCAAATTTGATTTAGCAGGGGTATGAAGCCAGAAATTGAGATGTGGAGGACACCACTCACTTACTGACACATGGAATCTCTCTGTGTAAGATTTTCCCTGAGAGGGAAAGCATGGGGCAGGAGCAGAGCTGGCCAGCTGGTTGAGAAGGGTGGAAGGAAAATCAATTTGATTGAACTGAAAAAAGTGGGTCAGAAATTGAGAGGAAGGAGAGGGCCAGGATACGAGTGTGGGTAAGTTGGCCAAGGTCAGGCACAAGTACCTGACCACCTGGCACTGGAGTAGGAACTGGGATTGGAATTACAGAAAACTTCAGAGAAAACTCCCATTCCGAATGGAGGGGGTGGGGTGGGGAATGAGTTCTTGGAGGAAGCAGAGGAAAAAAGCTCCATCCCTCCAAGACTGAAGCGGGTGGATCAGGGCTGTGCAAACCATCAAACACCTACCCTGCTACTCTTGGCGCCCAGAGCTGAGAGAGTGAGCCCACAGCCTATCCTGGCTGCTTGCGGATGGGCTCCTTTCAGCTTCTTGCACCATGTCTCCCAAGGCACTGAAGGGTGAACTGCCAGAGCAATTCACAGCAATGTTTCTCCCCTCCCAATCGGGAAGACATGTGGCAGGTTGCTCAAGTCCATCATCCAGGCTGGTGGGGGAGGGGTGGAGAGGGTGTGGCTTGTGACCCATAGCAGATGGCAGCAGGGGACAGCTGGGACTGGCCTTTGAAATTAGTAAATTGTTCAGTCAGCAGGTTCTGTTGTGCTTTTGACGTGGTGCTTTCTCCAGGCTTGGTCATTTCCCTGGGGCGATGGGACCAGCGCAGCGTCAGTGGTCAGGGCTGTTCCACAGCACGCTGTCCTGCTTCTATTTATAAATCAAGAACCCAAATGCAGATTTGTTTTGATCAGACAGTTACAATATAAACCTCCTAAATAGTTCTGAAGAGACAGTGCGACGCAGCACTGCTTGCCATGTAGAGGAACAGAGCAGAACAATGACTTAACTATCGAGCTACTCCTGTAAATATTTGCACATGCCCCTCCAGAGCTCAAAAGCCTATGACAGGATCATTGGACCATTTGCTTAGAAGAAGAAGAAACAAAATTGACCCCATGGCCTAAGGCAGCCATAAAAAGGAAGAGTGTATGGGCAGAAAACCAGAGAGAGGCAAAAAAATTTCGTTCACAGTTTAATAAACACCAAAGAGAATGAAAATAAATCTCCAGAGCACTTATTTACTAACTTGATGGAAGGATACAGTTGAGGCAGGTGGGTGTGAAAAAGGGGTGTCTGTCTGCGAAAGCAGAACAGACCATGGGTCCTCCATGAAAGAAATGGGGGTGCTTGAATGAGTTGTTTACTGTTGCTGATGACAGGAAATACATTAAAGTAGCCTTGCTCTTCCCAGGATGCTTCCCCCCCTCCCCCGCCCCGGACAAAGGATGTTAGAAGCTTCTACTGTCTAATGGGGAGATAAATGAAGATGAATGGAGCCACTTAGCCCGTGGAAAGTTCTGGCTAAAAAAGTACTCAAAGCCAGAGAACCTGGCTCCAGTCCTGCTTAGACCACTCTGGGCACCTGGGTTGGTTTTAGATGCACAGGGTTAGGAGGGAACAGCTTTTCTAATCACTGGGATGGACATATTCCAAAGGAGAAAAAGATGCTTCCTCTCAGACTGCTGTGCTAAAGGACTTTATAAACCTTCACGTTGGTACTGACGTTTAATGGCCCGATAGCTTCCCACCAGCTATTCCAAGGGTTGAGAGGCAGTGGGTCATCAGGGGGTCACCACTGGAAGGGCATGAATACTATTCTTTTTCTCCAGAATCTGGATGCTTTGGATTGGGGAGGGGGCTTGTGCTTTGTTGGTAGATTTCTGAAACGTAACGGCTCACCATCTACAAAGTCATCAACTGTAACACAGCTGTTTTATGAAACCAGCATGGAGCACACCATGAGTTGGAATTCACAGCTTTTTATGAGCCTGGATTTGGAGTCTCAAGTCTATGGGAAAAGGATGGAAGAAAGTCTACACAAAGGAAAAATAAAAACGCAGAGCTCTTTAGATGAGGAAAAGTCCACATGTTTCTAGCTGCCGCTGCTGCTCCTCCTCCTCTTCCTTCTCCTCCTTCTTCTTTCCTTCCTCTTTTCCTCTTCTTCTATTCTTAGTGTAATTGTCAGGCCATGAATTTCCTAAGAAATTCATGTATTTATTTCGAGTTTAAGATTGGCAAGATTACTTATTTAATAAGAAGTTTGCCTTGCCCATAGCTGAATACCTGAGTCTTTCAAGACTCCCATTAATGACCAACTACGCAAACAGTAGATATTTGGTGAACTCTTATATAGAGAGTTTTGTCCTGAATATATGTGTGTGTGTGTGTGTGTGTGTGTGTGTGTGTGTGTGTGTGTGTTGGTGTTGTCTGGGAGAGGAATCAGGGAGAATTAGAAAACAGTTTCAAGATGCTTAAATATGCATAGGAGAGAACACAATAAACAAGCAGAGTACAAAAGAGAAACAAACAACTGTGAATGATTACGTGTAATGAAGCATAATAGAACAAACGTTAGAAAGATATGGAGCCACCAGATTAGATGGAATTTTTCTGGAATGGGGAAGGTAAATTTGCAGGAGATGTGGAAGAAGATTTGTACAAGTATATTTGTAGTAGAAGGGGCTGTCCAGTGTTGGTGCACCAGAGGTGGATGTTAGATATAAAATATAAAAGCAGGAAGTGGCGCTATAGCTCAAGTGGTAGAGCGCTCGCCTTGAGCTGAAGAGCTGAGGGACAGCGCCCAGGCCCAGAGTTCAAGCCCCACCACCGACCAAAAAAAATAAAATATAAAAGCAGAAGGATAGGATTAACCTGCCTTTGTCTTGGGGTAGACTTTGGATATCCCTCACTTGAATATTCAAGGGTAATTTCAGATTGCTAGAAAATAAAAGCAAAACTAAGCAGCCCATGAACTTGAAGTTGTCTTGAACTCTGTCTTTGACATCATTTTGTAACTGAAGTAATTTGTGTTGACTCTATTAGTTAGGATTGCATCCTACCAGCAGACATTATCCTGAATGACAGATGTTTAGCCAAGAGCCCTGGCTCATGCCTGTAATCCTAGCTACTCAGAATGTTGAGATCTATGGATCAAGGTTCAAAGCCAACTGGGGCAGGAAAGTCCATGATTCTTATCTTCAATTAACCAGCAAAAAGCTGGACATGAAGCTGTGACTCAAGTGGTAGAGCACAAGCCTTGAGAAATAAAGCTAAGGGACATTTCCCAAGCCTTGAGTTCAAGTTCCAGTACTTGCATGGAGAGGGAAGGAGGAAGAGAAAGAGAGACAGAGAAAGAGAGTTTTAACACTGGATCTAATAGAGCCAGTTTATCCAGATTTCCTAGCTCTCACTTGGTCATATGCACTGTGTGTGAAACCCCAAACTATTGAAGCCAGAAAAGATGCAAAAAGGTGCCCAAATAAAAACAGAGTATTTGGATACCAAATTTTCAAGGGAAAAAAAGAAAAAAACCCTGGTGAATTGCTTGCCATTTGGAGCTATTTTCTTGGCACATCTGATTAGTGTATGCAAGTTTGACAGCTTTCTGCAGGCATCAACTGTCATAAACTTGTTCCAGTTTCTAACCATCTAGGATTTTCTACACCCTCTGTCAACCTTCAAAGGACAGGGTTAACTGCTTGCCCTCAAATGTAGTTACAAGTGGTTTGTTAATCTCTGTTAATCTGCTACTCCTGTGACCAAATGCACGTTTGTGTTAGCTCATTCTTTTTTCTCCCCCTTGGTTAAATTGTTAATGGTATTAAATTGACCATTGGAAATGAAATCATTCTGTAGATATTTCCCTTCTGATTTTTTTTCAGGTTGCTTTCCTGCTGTGATCTTTTCTTTGGGGGGGGGGGGCTTTATAATGTGGATTTTTATCCTTTTCAACCATTGCCCTAACCTTTTACAGATGCCATCCCGCCCACTTTCTACAGACCCTACTTCAGAATTGTCCGTTTTGACGTCTCAACGATGGAGAAAAATGCTTCCAATTTGGTGAAAGCAGAGTTCAGAGTCTTTCGTTTGCAGAATCCCAAAGCCAGAGTGCCTGAACAACGGATTGAACTGTATCAGGTAACTTTTGTTGGGGCTGTTCTGAGGGGTCGTCAGCTAGATGACTTTGTGCTGTTGTAGATGTTCCTAGCTGATAGAAACTATTGTGTGCATCTACAGTCATGCTGTGGGCCCTCATTTATGACTTACAGTAGTAGCTTGTCCTTGGAGCTTAGAACAAAATACTGAAGCTGTGTGTATATTCTCTTCTGTGGCATGGATGGCTGGAGAACCCACAGTTGGAGAGCATTTGTTCAGAAGTGAAACTCTTCATCTGCAAAGACATACACTGTAGGCCAGATTCCACCAATAGAAGTCATCTGACCCATGTCTCTTCCATCCTTATCTCTTTCCTTTGCTCTTCTCTTCCTTCTTATTCCTTCTGCCTCCCTGGCCTTTGAACGTTTTTTCCTCCCTTTTCCTTGCTTCCTCCTATCTCTTCACTGATTTTCTCCTCCTTCCTTTTCTGTTCAGACACTCTGTTCCATCTGATCCATCTTCTCCCCACACACCTTCTGTCCTTTATGAAGGCAGCAGCCCTGACCTCTCCCCTCTCTCATCTACCCAGTAGTTTCTGAACATTTGTGTCAAAAGATGATGATGGAAGACTTGGTTCCCGACATTTCACATGCATTCTTCAAAGCTTATTACTCAAGTGGAATCTTTAAGATAGCAGCTTTTCAGTATCCCCTAGAAGCTATGTGAGATACAGAATCTCAGCTTCCATACCAGACCCACAGAATCAGAATCTACATTTTAAAGAGCTCCCCGGGCAGCTCTTGAGCACACTGAAACACTGTTCAAAAGCCCTGACTCTGGGGAGGTAGGCAGATATGCAAACACACAACTAGATACCTTATAATGTCTTGTGAACACTGTGTTGGTATAAGGGCAGAGCTGGAGAGATGGTACCAGGGAAATGATATTTGGGTGAGGCTTCTAGAAGTATCTTTACATATATTAAGGCAGGATGTAGAGGTCACTATTGGCAGAAGAAGCAGCTTTGTGATGACAGATTCTTTTTTCATACTTTTGGAGATATAACCCAGAGCCTTGTATATGCTAGGCAAACACTGTATCCCTGTATTCCAGTGTCTTATGGATGTCAATGGTGGATTTATTGAGAGTATCAGTGACTTGGAGCTCACTGCCAAAAGTTAAGAAGAGATCAGAAGAAGGCAGATCTCCAGGGAGGACATGAGAGGGACATTAAAGAGGACTTAGACTTCTGGGAACCTGATGTTGATGTTCATGTGTGACAATGTGGTTGAAAAGCAGATGTACTTTGAAATAAGAAAAGGATTGATACCCATATGCTCTAGTTGCTCTGGATTATAATTATTTGGAAATTTGAATGAATAGGGTGAAAATTCTCCTTATATTTATGAAAATGGGCAATTTATCACATAAATGAATTTTGTGTAGGGGACTTTGAGAATACATGCCAGGTTTTTAACTAGTCAACATGTATACAGATGAAAATTAATTTTTCTGTATATGAGTCCTTTAGAACCTCCGCTTGGAAAGCTTTCACTCTTAATGCATCTTCTTAGGCTAACATAAAGCCAGTATGACAGGAAAACAAGTTCAGCTGGGATAAAAATCTGTCTGTTGGGGAGATGCAGCCGAAGGTGCAAGACTGTGCTTTTAGTTTGTTGTCACTGCACCTGGAAATCCCAAAGGAGAGCACTGAGCAGAAAAGGAGACTCAACCTCTTTTTTAGAAAACTATTTTGTTGTCATTATTAGAAGGGTTATCGTTTCATAAGTCAGGTAATGAGTACATTTCTTTTTGGACAACGTCACCTCTTCCTTCACTTTCTCCCAGTTTCTCTTCCTCCTTCCCTGCCCACAAGTTGCATAGTTCATTTTTCCTCTAGTGTCTACTGAGGACCATGTCTGAATTAGTTCATCCTTGAGGAGAGTCTACCTCTTAATTTACTCACTACTTTTTAACACTGCCAAAGTAGGGACCAAGCTCCTAATTCACAATAAACCCTTAGGTGACACATTCAAACTGTGTCAACATAATAGCAACAGTTAAGAGAATTTGGGGGTCATCTGTCCCTTTGGCTCCTTGAATGGACAAAAATATAAATCTGAGGGTCTTGAGCCATCTACCCGACTCAAAGAGAATCCTTTGAGCCCAGTGATACTTATTCTAGGGATATCTGGGTAGATTAGACAGAGAAAGGAATGGGTATGGCTAAATGGTGTACACGGTGTTGTGTGAGAGCTGTCTCCATTGTGCTTGGTTAAATAATGTCACACATTGGGACTTGGGTGTATCATTCCTGCACCCACCCTTTATGAACCAAGCTTGCATTAGTAATTCCTGACTTCCTGTATGTGTGTATGTGTGTATGTTTGTGTGTGTGTGTGTGTGTGCGTGCGCATGTGCGCACGCGTGTGTGTGTTGTGAGTGAAATGAATTCAGGGGAGAGTGGCTGCCCAACAAGGTTAATTCCCTTTCTTCCACCTCTTAGATTTGAATTTTTATCTTGGACACATCTAAGGGGAAGAACATTCCATTGAGTTCTCTGTGAAAGTCAGTTCAGTTACCATGTTTTTTTTTTTTTTTTGACAAACTTGTTAACTCCAGAATAACAGCATGTAAAAATAATACTCTGGGGAAGCAGGACAATGTATTAGGTTTATCTATTATAAAGCATCAGAGGAAAAAAATCCACCAAATTTGTCACCTTTTATAGGGGGTTTAATGAGAAACCACTAATATTGGTTGTCAGCTTAATAGATTGTGGGTCTTTGTCAACCAGGGGAAGATGAATGGATTGAGGTGAAATATGTGTTGTAGATTGAAAAGGAACCTACATTTCTTGACCATGTCTGTCAAAGACCTTGTCTGGGTCATTTTTATAGAGAATGAGGGCCAAACAATAGTTTAGCAAGGGAAGTTCTTTGCTGCGTGGTGCTTTATCAAAGCTTGACTAAGGAGAGTCCAATGAAACACAGCTGTCATCCTGCTTTCTCTGACTCCTTTCTTGGATTTTAATGATTTGTGAACTCTACTTTAAAAAGTAACTAGTTGGTCAAATGTGATGATATCTTGTATATAGACCAGATCAGTTGCAAAGATATAAAATGGTGGCTAAATCCTGATCTCATTTATATGCATTTATTTGTTTAGCTATTTAATTTGCTTCAAACATGTATATTATTCTGTTTTCTGATTTGAAGGTCAAAGAGTGAATTGTTGTTTCTGAAGCTAAATAAGTAAACAATAATTTCAAAGAGTGGATCACCCACTCTTTATAGAACTCCTGTATAGGAATTCTGTATGTTTCACATCTGGAAAAGATTCTGAAATGAATATCTTAAGGCATTCTGGTGCAGGTTTAAGGTAAATAGCCTAGACCTGCTTTCTAAGAGATCCAAGTGTCTTAAGACTAAAAAGTAAGGTAATTATCATTGCAGGAAATACAGCACTAGTGGAGTTAATGATATTGACTCTCTTCTCCTCTCTCTTTCTCTCTCTCTCTTTCTCTGTCCCATACACATACAGTTCAGTGAAATAAAAAGAGGTCAGCCAAAAAAGCTGTCTGTTAAATTAGACTTGCAAAAAGTGTGCTACTGGATTAAAAAAAAATGAAAATGAAGTTATGCTGTGCTCTGGTTGAAAATAATTCTGCGACCTACAATCCCTTTCATACTGACCCAGCCTGGGAGCCATGGTAGACACACACACCACACAACAACCAGTAACCACTTCACAAAGACATCCATCAGGTGTGAGGAACACTTGGTTTGCAAAGACTATTGATATCTCTGGGTTTTCTTTTCAAACTGGTCAAATGGCATGCTTGCCTCATAAGGAAATTTACTTATTTGCACAAAGTTGTGATATCACCAGAGTCTACTTATTAATGTGAGCAGAGGAGGCCGTAAAAGTAGTGTGACGTGGCTGTGGTGAAAGAAAGTTTAATGATTGTATAATAATAATAATAGCTAATTACTGCTAACAAACACAGTGCTTACTGTGTAGTAGGAACTGTGGTTAGTGCTTTCTTCACCTCTATGAAGAGTTGCTTAATCTTTACTATGCGGTGGCTGCTACTTTTACCTTATTAGACAAATGAGTACTCTGGGGCCTTGTGAAGTTCGATAACTTACCCAGACCATGCAGCTAGGGAAGAGCAGAGTCAGGACTGCAAGCTAGGCAGTCTGCTGCCCAACCACTCCCAGGCCCCACCCTAGGAATGCTCTTGGCTTCTTTACCACAGAGTTGGATCTATGTAGGTTCAAAATTTTGCTTTAGCCCCTTTTCAGAGTCTGAGGGCCTCCTCTTACTGAGGCTCTTTGCACATCAGTAAAATGCAGATAGAAGCACCTTCTTAGCACAGATTTTATAAGGCATGGAGTGAGTGCCTGCGAACTCCTAGCCCAGAATCTCCCCCCACCCCTCCGAGGTTATATTCTTGTTATTCTTTCAATTTCCAAGGCATTGAGTTTGAACTCTTGTAAGAAATAAGTCTATTCAATTTACAAATTGGCTCAAAATCTGTTACCATAAAAGTTCCCCCTTGGCCCTACTGTCTTAGGGTCCAGGTTCATGGTTGCTCTTCCAAGAGTTTATTATGGGGCCTCCTAAAGGCGATTTCCGCTCTCACTCTGTGTGGAGGTCTCAGTTTCTAGCCAGCATCTCAGAGTAGAAACTTTGCAGACAGTCGGCCCCTCAGTTTGCTCTCTGTCTTCTTTCATTTCATAGCTTTTAGTCCTAAGAAATCATGGTCTGCAGCTAAACTTTGTCCTGTAAAGTTTTGCCCAATGAGTTTTCCTCTGAGGACCACATATTATTCTTAAAATGTGCCACGTGGGATGCAGAAGGAGTGGGTGCAAGAATGAACTTTGCACTTCCCTTCAAGTGATTCCACAGCTATTCCATGGAGGTTTCCATCATGCCTTGTTGGAGGAGGCCTGACCCATCTCCTGTTGGCAATGGAGCAGAGTCCAATAATGGAGCACAACCATCATCTTCCTGCTCTATTTGCTTTACCCAGTCTT